GTATGAATAATGATAATTGTCCCACGTTTTCACTCCCCAATTCCTAGCTCATTTGAATCAACCTTACTCATTTCCCCAAAACACATGTGTGTAGTAGGTATATTTTATAATCTGGTACATAACTCTTTGGTTCTTTCGGTAAAGCCACGTAGAAAGAAAATACATTAAATAATAGTTTCTTTCTACGTGGCTTTACCAAAAGAACCAAAGATTAATTCCTGCAGTCACGAAAGCTCCAAATCAAATCTGGTACATATGTATATGAGGTGACTGTGTTTGCTGTGTTTAATCCTTGAGTACATTGCAAACATAATCAGCATCACTTCATATGCCTGCAATACACAAACACAACAGAGTTACACAAGGCTAATAGAGAGCCACAGCCTCGCAAAAAACCGCACAGACTCACTGACACATGCACTCACAGGGAGAGACGGAAACTAACATGGAGACATGCAGATTCATAGAGAGACGCACAAACTCACAACAAGACACAATGACTCAAAAAGACACGGATTCTCATACATAAACACACAAACTCCCACAAATACATATGGACTCCCACAGGGACTCAATTAAAATCCTCATTAGAGTGCCTCCATTGTATTGTCCAAATTTGCAGAAGTAGAAAATTATGACGTAATTTACTCCATTGCGATTACAACAGCATCAATCATTGTCTCTTTACTGGTAGCAGACAAATACACGAGGACAGCTGCCACTGGGGGTGCTATAGGCTAAACCATATTAGAGGTTGTGGGTTAGATCGCGTAAATATAAATGTGTCGTTAAACCTGCCACCACCTGTCACAGCCAATTAGTAAGGTTTGTCACGTCAAATCGTTACGAGTATAGCACAATGGTGTGTTGGAGAGCAAATCCACAATATTTACAATTCGTGACTTAAAGCTTTCGTGACTGGAGGAAATCATATTCTTTGGGTCTTTCGGTAAAGTCACTTGACTTTACCGAAAGACCCAACGAATATTTACAATTCGAGTATGATGTTTTGCCAGTAATTACAACTAGCATAATCAGGCGACAGCCAGGTTTGTGGAGAGATCCCCCTGTTTTGTTTTTAACCACGCAACAACATTCAGCACCCCATACTGACAAACTAATGCATAGGGACAGCTGCCACTTGGGGTGCCATACATTGACCACACAGCGGCAATCATCGCCCCCTACTGGCAACAGACTAATGCCCCAGGTCACTTTTGCAAATTCGACAAAATCCTGATCTCTCACCTTGTCTCTCACCTTGAGCTCTGACCTGGTCACACATTCAATTTGACACTTGAACCCTCATCATTCCTACGATGGTTGTAGTGATGCGTGTGGCTATGTTTACCACTCACAGAACATCAATGCGATACTGATGAGGATAGATGCGGTGAACCCCCAAGTCATCATGCAGCGAGGAAGGGAGGATGAATTCTGTGAAATAAATTCGGCATCATCAACAACATTTATATAATAATTTTCATCATCATCATCAACATCGTAAGCAAGATTTATATTATTATTATCATCATCATCTATATGAAGAACATTATCATCATGTTTGCATTTTGTGAGCTTGTGTTGGAGTGCTTATTAACTAATATAGGTGTTTGTTTGTTTGTGTTTATGTATATATGTGTATATTATCACTAACATCACTCTAATCATCAGCAAAATAAGAACATCATCATCATCATCATCATAAAAATCATCTGCAACATTCATAATACATTTATCATCAATAGCATCTGCAACGTGAAGAACATGACCATCGTGCATGCGTTTTGTGAGTTTGCGTTCGGGTGCTTCTTAAATAACACGTGTGCAGTGTGGTGAAACACGTGGCGCACACTGTTGGCCGAGGGCAACTGAGGACAAACGCGTGCGCGTGCGCGGACACGAGGTTGCACGGGCAAACCGCCACCTAATTTGGGAGGGACGCTGTGAAGACCAGTTCGTCTCGGGGTTGCACGCTGACACCGGAGGTGTTGCCAGGGAGACGTTGCGATAAGAGGCGCTTGATGGCCTCACAGGCGCTAGCCCCGTCTGGCCCTAAAGAGACGCAAGGGAGGAGCTGGACAATTGGGAGGGGTATATAAGGACGTGCGCGAGAGCGGAGCGGGAGTTCGTGTTGCTGGGGACCAGAGAAAGAAGACGTCCCGCCGCCGCCGCTCAAGCCGGGAACGGACCTCAACCCTCACGAGTCGCCGGGCGGGTGGTCGTTCATCCTCCCGATGGACGAGTGAGTGGGTCTGGTGGAACGTAGGCGAGGGCAGCGGTGGAGTTGGGGGAAGCTGCGTGAGAGCCGCTGTGTGCAAGCCTCTGTGTGAGAAGCTGCGTGAGAGTTGCTGTGTGCAAGCCCCCTGTGTGAGAGTTGCTGTGTGCAAGCCTCTGTGTGAGAAGCTGCTGTGTGCAAGCCCCCTGTGTAAGAGCCGCTGTGTGCAAGCCTCTGTGTGAGAAGGTGCGTGAGAGCCACTGTGTGCAAGCCTCTGTGTGAGAGCTGCTGTGTGCAAGCCCTCTGTGTGAGAGCCGCTGTGTGCAAGCCCTCTGTGTGAGAGCCGCTGTGTGCAAGCCCTCTGTGTGAGAGCCGCTGTGTGCAAGCCTCTGTGTGAGAGCCGCTGTGTGCAGGTTAGTGAGGTGTAACGTAAATAAGAGTGGGAACTGGTTAACAGAAGTGACCGTACACATAGCGATAGGAGCACCTACAACTGGTGCGGAAATAGGTTAATAAAGTGTAAGCAGGTGACTTGTTACAACGTGTCAGTCTGAGTGATCTTACAATACACTACATATGTATTTGCTTGTTTATGTGTCTATATTAGTGTATTTTTTTATATTTTGCGTCTGTGTGCATGTTTATATGCGCGTCTTATTATATTTAACGTGGAAGCATTAAATATATAGCAAAATGTAGATGGGTAAAGTGGTAGAATTAAATATTATGTACAGCAGTGTAAAATAGATGGTCAAGTCTGTGTGATATAGTGTGTGCATAGTGTAGTATATAGGGTGGTATGTGGTATATATTGGCATGTATGAGTGTGAGGCATGGTGTGAAGTTGAACTCCGTGAGTTTGACCTGAGTAATGGTGAATAGTGAATATGAGGTGTGTGTGGTAAGGCTGAGTTGAAGTAAGTGTGAGCAGGTGGTGTGTATGTCTATCTGCATGTGAATTTAGCGGTGCTGGGCCTAAGTCGACTCATACTCAAATGAGTACCTGGTGTGGTGTGTAAAAACATCGCCACTGGGGAGACAAATGCGATCGGGCGTGGCGTTGATCACCCACCCCCTCTTGTGCCATGCCGGCCTTCATAGGTGCTCACTAACTGCACTTGCCCCAATAGTCTGTTAAGGCTACACGGGGGATCAGTATTTGCGAGGGGTGGTAACTGCTCCACCTGGCACTACTTCTTACCAATACCCACGGTGGAAACTCCGAGCTAAGCTTGTGCTGAAGGCCCCAGGGATATAGGCGCCTTCGGGCCAAACCCCATTTGGCAAAGCCAGACTCTACACCTCCCTTCGGATATAAAAATAAAAACAATGAAGTTGTCAATGTGTAATTTCCGAACGTTCACTGTGGAGGAGAGGCTTCCATTCGTCTCTCGCGAGCTGGAACCTCTGTATGCAGGAGGTTTGGTAGACTGGTTCTGGTTTCAGTCACCATGACGGGTGGACAGTTCTCCACTTGGGGAAGAAAACTGCAAACAACATTGGGTGGTCCTGCTTCAGAACCAAACAATGAAGGGGGGCATAGGAGTGCGGAGACGAAGTGTGGGAATCTGTAAGTCTCCAGCTGTTGTGGATTCGCCTTCCCATTAACAGGAGGTGATGCATGGTATTGGTGGGGGTTTACGCCCTCACAGAAGATGACCGTCAGTGGAGGGATGCAAGTGTAGAGGAGTAGTATGACGACATGACGTCATGCGAGCTGTGAGGTGCGATGACGTCATGTCACAGGAGCTACTTAAAGGAGACTCCGGTGCTGCCCACTCTGAGAAGGCGTTGGACATGCCACTGAAGAATCCTACTAAGAGATGGTGCTTTACCATCAATCCCCCATAACAAAAGGCACCTACCTGGGTATTTTATTTCATTGAATGTTCCCTCCCCCCTTCACTCTCTATGAGGGAAGGGGCAGTTGTAGAAAGAGTGGAGAAGAGTTCGTACATGGGCACTGTGCTTACTGCATGACCAGCTCTGGTGTGGCAGGAGAGGTCTCACTCTAAATTCGTCAAGTGTGATTATATTTTCATCAGCTGAATAATGCTGTGTGGAAGCTACCTGGTCTATTTCTCCATATGAAGCTGCGATTGTTTTTGGCCACAGTGATGCCTTCTCTTCGCTGAGCTTACAAAACATGGAGCCCTCCAAGGGAACGTCTGCACTCTCTTTAAACATTCAGGCTTGCCTGCCAATGATCTTTCTTGGATTTAAACAAAGTGCATTACGTGACAGACTCGCATATCCTTGAAATTAATGAGCTCCTCCAGCAGGCGAGACTGCGTTGGCTCAGTCATCTAGCTTGCATGCCCAACCACTACATGCCCAAGCAGCTTCTGTTTGGCCAGAAAGATAGTGCTAAACAGGCGCGGTCAGGGCTAGAGAAGAGATGGACTGATGTGTTACAGAAGGATATGGAGCTGATTGGACTTGCCAATGACTGGTACCAGCGATGTCCAGATTGGCATCTGTGGAGGAGGTTCATGAAGGACGCTACTGGCCAGTTGGAGGCAGTCGCCCTCCAGCAAGAAAGGAGATTGCAGGACCGACGCTCATAACAATAAGCTGGGTGCCTTGGCAGCTAAAACGTCAAAATTGTCAGTCAAACCATGGCATCTAGGTCTGTCCTGTGACCTACTGCCATAAATCCTTCGATAAGACACGTGGCCACAAAGTGAACCTAGCATCGCACAAGCGCCGTGGTGACATCACTGCCACGTAGTGGCGAAAGGTGGTTGTTGTTGTTGGTGGTGGTGCCACTTTCTGTATGGCTCACTCTCTCTCTCTCTATGAGCGCTGTGGACAATTATACATTGAGCTTAGTGCTCAAATCGTACGTCAAAACTTGAGGAATTTGCTATTTTCTTCGAACCTCCATTGGCTAGGGCATGTCTCCTCCATGGGCTGGCCACGGCTCTTCCATTGACTGGGCCACGTCATCTGCTTGGGCTGGGCCAGGTCTCCTCCATAGAATGGGCCACATATCCTCTTTGAGTTAAGCCATGTATTAACTAAGTATTAGAGCACTGCTTCCCAATTTTTTTTTCATTCCATGGCACTCACGTTCGAGCTCACTCACTTTGGGCCCGGATGAGTGCGTGGAGATGCATTGTAGCTGAGAATTCGAGATACTCTTCTTCTACTGACCTCACAAAAATAAAGGAAATCAAGTGGCGCTGCAAAAATTCGTGACGAGAATATCCCCGACTGCTTACAGGCATTTCGTGCCTGTGTGAGTCTCTGTTACTGTGTGTGCCTCTGCGTGTGTCTGTCTGTGCTTCCACTTATCTGGGTATAGCTTTGTGTATCTCCACGTCTCTTTGTCTGTATTCATGTTTGTGTGACTCTATCTACGTCGGTGTGTGTCTTTATCTCTGTATATGTCTCCATGTGTCTCCGTGTCTTTGTGTGTCTCTCCGAGCCTCCTGTGCCTGTTTCTCTGTTCTTCTCCTTGTTTGTGGATCTCTCTGCATGTATCTCCATGCCTGCGTGTCTACCGTATGTCTCAGTGTTTGTTTGCCCAACTGTGCATGCGCGTCTAAAGGAGTTGAGAGGGCGGGAGATGGAGAGTGGGGGCTTGAGTTGAGTGAGTGAGTCACTCTTCGTATGAATCAGCGGTTGAGTGATAATCAGTTGTGTGAGTGATTTTCTTTATGCGTGAGTGAGCAGGTGAGTGAGACAAAAGAGATGCACAGACTCGTACGGAGACGCGCAGTCTCGTTATGAGTTACGCACCGTCGTGGGGAACTGCATCCCCGTGATGGAGGTGATCCAGGCACTGTAGCCGGACACGCGCGTGAAGACGTTCGGCTTTGTGTCAAAGTTGCAGCTGGTAGGAAACCCGAAGCTCGTGATGCCGTGCACCTCCCACCCTCTGTCCGTCTTACAGTTCAGGGGGCCCCCCGAGTCTCCCTGCATATAAGGACAATTGTGACAATAGCAACAATGACTTAGTTTTATACAGCATCATTCATGTAGCGCATGGGAATATGCAAGGTGTGGAGGCACGAGAAGGAACCGCAGACATTTCAATTTAAAGCTTCCGTGACTGCAAGGATTCATCTTCTTTGGTTCTTTCGGTAAAGTCACGTAGAATGAGAATAAAATAATACAATAAAATTCTCACTACGTTTCGGCCACAACACAAGTGGCCTTCTTGTGGCCGAAACGTCGTGAGAATTCAATTGTGTTATTTTATTTTATTAATTTATTATTTTAATCTCATTCTACATGACTTTACCGAAAGAACCAAAGAAGATGAATCCTTGCAGTCACGAAAGCTTTAAATCGAAAATCAATTGCATTGTCATGCATTTTGAATGCATTCTACCGTAAACACTGAAATGTTGTCAAAGATAGTCATTAAAACTACGGTGATACACTGTGTTCGGTTTATTTTGTGCTGCTTGGCATCGTGCGGTTATGTACAGTAATCACCATTCAAGCGTGTTGCCCTGCAATTCAAGAATCCCACAGTGCACTCATGAAAATAATATTTCACGAACACAGTAAAAACGCTGCAGAGGAGTTATAGTGGAAAACATGTGGCGCTTGAGATTATATAACGATCACAAACAGAGAGCTGCAATTCACTGGACACACGTGGCAAGCATAGTGTCAGATAGGCATGGCTTCCTCGCACGGAGACTGTGTTGAGGCTATGTGAAATTAAGATATAATTTAGCCAACCTGCTGCAGATAAATGCGAAATCCGACTCGTAGGTGTTTTGCTGCATTGGAATTGCAATGGCCTCTGATGACTGACACAAAGCCAGCGTCCTCTTGTTAATAATGTATTTGCATGAAGAGTGTCCATAACTATTACACTCACGTAGCAAGTAGAGTGAAGGCTGTCCCCTGCACAGATCATGCTTGGCTTCACTGTGGTCCCCCAATACTCGCTGCTGCTGCATTTGGCGTAGCTGACAAAGGGAAGCTTCGCTTGTTGAAGAGTGGAGGGCGATGGGCCATCGGCTGATGAAATGCAATCAATGTGACAAATACAAAAGAAAAATTAGTGTTGTTGTGGTGTTGTCATTAAAAGACGTAGGGGCGACGACATGGCCCAGCCGTAGCGTGCTAGCATCTTATTGAAGAGGTTTGTGGTCCGACATCTTCAGGACCCCTTGGGTATAACCGAAGGTGTATTTACCATTCTAGGCTCTGTCTGTGTCACAGTGCACATTAATCATCCCATAACATCATTTGAAAACAGTATGCCAGCGTCGTGGTCCCAAATTAAAAAAAAATGATTTGGTTCTTTCGGTAAAGTCACGTAGATAGAAAAAAGATATAAAAATACCACGACTTTTAGATCGCAACACAAGCGGTCGTTATCAATAAAATTCTCACGACGTTTCGACTGCAACACAAGCAATCATCATCAGGTGTAAAAACCTGAATTTTATTGTTTTATATTTTTATTATTTTATTGTTTCCCTTCTACGTGGTGACTTTACCGAAAGAACCAAGAATATTAACTGCAAAGAGTGAAAGAAAGTGGTTGACGAATTTGGAAATGTATGCATTTAATGTCGGTTGCCTTTAATAGAAGTAAATATTTACGCGGTCTAACCCAAAAACCTATATTTTGGATAACCTAATGGAATTAATACTTCTATAAAAGGCAACCGACATTAAATACATACATTTCCAAATTCATCAACCACACTTTCTTTCACTCTTTGCAGTTCCATCATTTCATCAGCATTAGTTCCACACAATCAAAACTTTGGAACATTGACGACATTCTGTGTCTTATCAGCAGTCAGAATTGCTTAAACCAAGCTGGTCAAATTATATATTGCAAGAAGGACGTGTGGCTGATGAGATGTCTAAAACAACACTCATCTTTTTATGTGTAGGGAGGCACATTGTCTGCTAATCTAAATGTTGTTTTAGTACATTTGATATTCACGTTATTAATAACCTCTATTATGGATGATATTGGTCGCGGAAGCCTACGTGTTAAGCTATTAGGTTATGTAGGATAATAAATCAATCATATTGCAGTTTCCTTTGTAAATTGAGGACAGAAGATTCAGGGAAATATAGAGTGATATCATGAGCATAAAAATGTATTTATGAACGCAACTGCTTTGTGCTGGCATTATTTATACAAAGGGAGAACCACGATGGACCTTTGTGATCCTTGAAAAGTCAGACATTACCAAATATAATGCTTTGTTTGTTTAGTCCTTACTTGACAGACTTCCCCAGCCGGTCGCATAACACTCGGGGTTGTTGGACAAGATGTGTCCTGGGTAGGGCAGGGTCGCAGGTTGGATCTTGTTGGTGATCGGCGCAGATTCATTGAGCTCAATGAATGCAAGGTCAAACCTGGCATGGGGTGGTGGGGGACACGGTGAGTGGACAATGGACGAAGGGGAAGCGGATTTTACAGTAACAGTGCATGAGGAACTATACACGGGTCATCGCTTTCAGAATCATTCAAGTCGCATGGTGCATACGAACCCATTCACTGCAAGGCACCTAATCTAAGCCACCTCGTGATACATTTGCCATTATTTCTGAGTTCCAACGTAAGGGTTTGACCTAAAAGGTCTTGCTCATGCCACTGCTGGTGGAAGCGCCGCCACTAGAAGGAGCTCTATAGGATATTTGGTTCACTTTACTACACTGAACACATACAGTGAGTGAAAAAAAATATTTGATCCCCTGCTGATTTTGTACGTTTGCCCACTGACAAAGAAATGATCAGTCTATAATTTTAATGGTAGGTTTATTTGAACAGCGAGAGACAGAATAACAACAACAAAATCCAGAAAAACGCATGTTAAAATAGTTATAAATTGATTTGCATTTTAATGAGGCAAATAAGTATTTGACCCCTCTGCAAAACATGACTTAGTACTTGGTGGCAAAACCCTTGTTGGCAATCACAGAGGTCAGACGTTTCTTGTAGTTGGCCACCAGGTTTGCACACATCTCAGGAGGGATTTTGTCCCACTCCTCCTTGAAGATCTTCTCCAAGTCATTACATTTTTGAGGCTGACGTTTGGCAACTTGAACCTTCAGCTCCCTCCACAGATTTTCCATGGGATTAAAGTCTGGAGACTGGCTAGGCCACTCCAGGACCTTAATGTGCTTCTTCTTGAGCCACTTCTTTGTTGCCTTGGCCGTGTGTTTTGGGTCATTGTCATGCTGGAATACCCATCCACGACCCATTTTCAATGCCTTGGCTGAGGTAAGGAAGTTCTCACCCAAGATTTGACGGTACATGGCCCCGTCCATCATCCCTCTAATGCGGTGAAGTTGTCCTGTCCCCTTAGCGGAAAAATACCCCCAAAGCATAATGTTTCCACCTCCATGTTTGACGTTGGGGATGGTATTCTTGGGGTCATAGGCAGCATTCCTCCTCCTCCAAACACGGCGAGTTGAGCTGATGCCAAAGAGCTCAATTTTGGTCTCATCTGACCACAAAACTTTCACCCAGTTGTCCTCTGAATCATTCGGATGTTCACTGGCAAACTTCAGACGGGCATGTATATGTGCTTTCTTGAGCAGGGAGACCTTTCGGGCTCTGCAGGATTTCAGTCCTTCACGGCGTAGTGTGTTACCAATTGTTTTCTTGGTGACTATGATCCCAGCTGCCTTGAGATCATTGACAAGATCCTCCCGTGTAGTTTTGGGCTTATTCCTCACCGTTCTCATGCTCATTGCAACTCCACGTGGTGAGATCTAGCATGGAGCCCCAGGCTGAGGGAGATTGACAGTTCTTTTGTGTTTCTTCCATGTGCGAATAATCGCACCAACTGTTGTCACCTTCTCACCAAGCTGCTTGGCAATGGTCTTGTAGCCCATTCCAGCCTTGTGTCGGTCTACAATCTTGTCCCTGACATTCTTGGAGAGCTCTTTGGTCTTGGCCATGGTGGAGAGTTTGGAATCTGATTGATTGATTGCTTCTTTGGACAGGTGTCTTTTATACAGGTAACAAGCTGAGATTAGGAGCACTCCCTTTAAGAGTGTGCTCCTAATCTCAGCTCGTTACCTGTATAAAAGACACCTGGGAGCCAGAAATCTTTCTGATTGAGAGGGGGTCAAATACTTATTTCCCTCATTAAAATGCAAATCAATTTATAACATTGTTGACATGCGTTTTTCTGGATTTTTGCTGTTGTTATTCTGTCTCTCACTGTTCAAATAAACCTACCATTAAAATTCTAGACTGATCATTTCTTTGTTAGTGGGCAAACGTACAAAACCTGTAGGGGATCAAATACTTTTTTCCCTCACTGTATGTGAGGTGGGGAGAGGTGGATATACCCACATTGAATGTCATCACATGGAACCTGCCGATCGATTGCGCTGTATACAATTTTACTGATAAGTGGGTAGAGGTGAGACCATTCAGCAAGATGTCAATTTCTTCGACTGCCGCGCCAGGAGATGGAATAAAACTGCGGACCTCTGGATTACAAGTCCAATGTGGTAACCATTGGACCAATATGGCAGCTCCATTTGTTTATTAGTTAATAAAATATAAAACACGTGTTTATTGCTCTATACAATCCTTATTCTGCTTCTTTTGTATGGATTCATAGCAGAAGATTAAAGATGTAAATCTACATTTGTTATCTACTCAATTGTCTGTTCAAACACGGAGTGGTTCTCGTCCGTTCCACCTTTAAAGGAGTGAAGACAGCAGCTGTTCACAATGTGGTCGATCATTTGGGAGTTGGTGGCCACACTCGCAGGCCGCCGAATCTTTGATGAACCATTTGTGCACCAGATGGCCGCATCGGCCATGCCCGGTCCTGATTCGGTTGATGGTCGACCATTGGCGACGTGGAAAGTTTAAACCGGGAGGTTCGATGTGATGTTTATTTTTTTTACATTGGCCACAGTCTAGACTTGCTTCGATCTCTTGCCTTCATTTGTATTTGTGGCGTGGAGTGAGGCTGCTCGTTATCCAGAAGGAGTGATATGATTTTAGGCACTGGGTTTATGTCCCTATGTGTTCGAAGGTGTTTCACGACAGATTTGCGATGGAGTGGGTAAGCACTGGGAGCGACTGGGTCGGCGTCGACCTCAGCATACCTGAGATGGCACGCATTGCAATTTTCAGTTGCGTGACGATAACTCGAGTGTGAGCGCTGCGTCCTCCTCACAGGTGAGCAATACCCTCCCAGTCGTTTACACGAGGGCGAGTGTGGCAGTCCGTAGTGTTTGCGCATCACTGCCCAAACCAGTTCCCGCCAGTTGTAACTAATTATTCTTTTCCGTGTTGTTGCACGTGGGTACCAGTAACACAAAATCAACTATCTAACAATTTTAAAAGTGGAAGAACAATATGTTCCCCACCTCCACGGACCCACGCTGTATGCCCATATCACCTACACAGCCCGCATAGGTGTGAGAACGCCCTCATACAACAGTGGATTGACCAATGGGCAATACGTGTATATACGTACCCATATTCTGGAAATAATGCATTCCATTTCGGATGAACGTGTATATTCTTGATTTGCACATGAAGTTGTCCCTCTTCAAATAGATGCAAATTTTGTTTTCCAAGAAGCACGGACTGAGAATAATTTGTGCTGTTGGAGATAAAAGGCATCAGGAGATTGGAATGATTAATGAGGTACAAGGATCAGATGCTCACTTAATAACATTTCTTCATTTTGAGAAAAAACAAAAACCCACATTCACTCCGGCCCTACCATGTGGCCGAAATGTCTGATGCAAGACAGTCGACCCAATTGTTTTTTTAATGAGAGCTGTAATTCAGCGAAATTAAGTAAAAATCCAAAATGTATTTGATGTTTTTTTTTTGTACAGTCATTGGTGATCGCATTGAGACCATTAATTAATCTGCGTTTAATCACGCCTCTGTCTGTGTAAGTTTATGGGTTTCTAGGTAAGACATGGGGTGACCAGGTGGCAAAGTGTCCACACGTGGGCCTTTGTACTGTATGTTGAACTTCTTTCTGACTGTGCGTAGTCAACCATTCTAATCAGAAGTGCGGGGGAAGGACACCAAACTAATCACTAAAAGCAGTTATTAAGAAATGGGTTTCCAATCTAGATTTACCCAAAAGCCACTGCGAGGATGACCAGAGTTTATATGATGGATTATGCTCCTTGATGAGATCAACAAGGTTCTGTCGTTCATTTATGGCAAGCACTTTGTGTGTAATGAGTGAGACGTTATAATGTATTCGTTCAGCAACCTGAAGCCAATGCAGCTTCGGAAACACCGGACGGAAGCTGTGCTTTCTGTGTGGAGTTTGTACGTTCACCCCTGTAGAGTGTGATAGTAAGTGTTTGATGTTTGGGATGGACCGTCCTTCACTCAGTGCAGAAAACTGCGACATGGAGTAACTATTCTCAAAAACAAAAGAATGAAGGGGGTATGGGAGCGTAGCGATGAACTCTCGGAAGCTGTGAGTCCCAGGCTACAATGGGCTCACCTCACCCCATAAATGGGAGGCGAGGAATAGTGGTAGTGGTGGCTTACGCTCCACCAAAGACGAAAATCAGAGGAAGGATACAGGTGTAGTGGAGTAACGCGCTTGGGGGTTTACAAACAAAATAACAAAAAATCACGACGTTTCGGCCACAACACAAGCGGCCTTCATCAGGTGAAGGGACGAGACTGTCTGGAGGACAGCGCTGGAGTGGGGGAAGCCACGCTTAGATCACGACCTTTAAGCTGTGTGAGAAGAAAAACACAAAGCGCCTTGACAAAGGAATTAGCATATAATTTAGCATTGAAATGGCTCATTGAAATAGCTAAGTTAAAGTATACACATCCGCAGAGGTACCCCTTGACAAAGGAATTAGCATAGAATTTAGCATTAGAATAGCTGAGTGATTAGCTTGTAACTGGTCACAGAAATAGCTATGTTAAAGTCAGAGCATATACATTCACCGAGGCACCGAGTACTCATCAAACAGGATAATTTAGCGAAACACAACCACGCTCAGACAGCGGACCTTTAAACTGTGTGCGAGCAAACAAGGTGTTCTGACAAAGAAATTAGCATAAAAATTAGCATTTCATTGGCGGATTTTAGGAAAGAGGTGGTGTACGTGCCGGTGGACTTGCCGTTTGGCGTGGGGGGGGGGGGGGGGGGGTGTTTACCTATTGATGGTGTGAAAAGGGAATTTATAAGAGCTGCGAAAGTTTGGGGTACCACTACTTGAAAAATATACTGTACCATTGAAATTAGTTTAATGTTTAGTTCGATTTAGAACATCTTTCCAATGGTTGCTTAATTTGAAACCATCCTCTCGGTTGAAATTGTGTCTGTGTTTGTAGATCTGAATTGCTTCATGAACAAATCTCTGATAAAAGCCCGTGGGTTTGCAAAGAACCTTGGTATCGGAGAAAATTACATCGTGATCCCCCACAGCGTTGTAACAGTGATCAGCCACGGCAGAAGAATTCGTTTTGCCGTGTTTCAAATCTGATTTGTGCTCGCGAATTCGGTTTACAAATTGAGTTGTACCTGCGGTGATTGCTATATCGGGGAGACAAAGCGACATGTCTCTGACCGAATTCGCGAGCACAAATCAGATATGAAACACGGCAAAACGAATTCTTCTGCCGTAACTGATCATTGTTACAACGCTGTGGGTGATCATGATATAATTTTCTCCGATACCAAGTTTCTTTGCAAACCCACGGGTTTTTCTCAGAGATTTGTTCACGTGGCAATTCAGATCTACAAGCACAGACACAATTTCAATCGAGAAGATGGTTTCAAATTAAGCAACCATTGGAAAGATGTTCTAAATCGAACCAAACATTAAACTAATTTTCAATGGTACAGTATATTTTTCAAGTAGTGGTACCCCAAACTTTCGCAGCTCTTAAATTCCCTTTTCACACCATCAATAGGTAAACTCCCCCCCCCCCCCCCGCGCCAACCGGCATGTGCACCCTCATGTACACCACCTCTATGCTAAGTCGGCCAATCAAATGTTATTTTTTATGCTAATTACTTTGTCAATGCACCTTGTTTCCTCGCACACAGCTTAAAGGTCGCGGTCTGAGCGTGGCTGTGTTTCACTCCAGCGCTGTCCTCGAGACAGCCTGATCCCTTCACCTGATGAAGGCCGCTTGTGTTGTGGCCAAAACGTCGTGATTTTTTTGTTTTATATTTTTTACCTACGTGACTTTACCGAATAGAACCAAAGAGTATGGATCCTTGCAGTCACGAAAGCTTTAAATCTAGAATTGTGTGTCTCAGTGTCTGTGTTTTCTCTCTCTCTCAAATTTAGTTATACCTGATGACGGTTGCTTGCGTTGCAATCGAAACGTCGTACTACATTATTTAATTTATTTTCTGTCTACGTGACTTTACCAAAAGAACCAAAGAATGAGTTATGAAGCTCTTTTTCACAGATGTTCAGTAGGAGTTTAGCAGCAGAGAGCGAGATGGGGAGACGGATTTTACGAATATTGAACAGGTGAAAGTGGCAAGTGGGGGTAGTGGCAGAGATGTGGCCAATCCCTCTATGCAGAGCTCTGAGGCCTCTCGGCCACAGTTATGCCCTCCCTTGTTCTTTGGCTCTTTCGGTAAAGTCACGTAGATAGAAGAAAAAAGAGGAAAAAAATCACGATACTTCGATCGCAACACAAGCAATCGTATTCTTAGTGTTTTCGGTAAAGTCACGTTGAAGGGAAACAACAAAATAATAAAATATATATAAACAATAAAAAATTATCACGACGTTTCGACCATAACTCAAACGGTCGTCTTCAGGTGTGTTGGTTTGCATAAATGTATTTTTAAACGGCGCATTTTTTTTTATAAGTGTGTTTTTTTTATAAATAAATGCGCCGTTTAAAAATACATTCATGCAAACCAACACACCTGAAGACAACCGTTTGAGTTATGGTCGAAACGTCGTGAGAATTTTTTATTGTTTTATATATATTTTATTATTTAGTTGTTTCCCTTCAACGTGACTTTACCGAAAAAACTAAGAATATGAATTACTGCAGTCACGAAAGCTTTAAATCAAAATTTACAAGCAATCGTCTTTACCGAAAAACCCAAAGAGTATGAAATCCTGCAGTCACGAAAGCTTTAAGTCAAGATTATGCCCTCCCTTCTCTATGCTGATGAAACTCGGATCCCTTGAAAGGAACATCTGCACTGGTGCTATAGATTGAGGCTTTAATCAGACTAGATTGTTTGAGAAGCTCACACACATCCTTGAGATATTGGGGCACAGTTACATCAGCGAGCTACTCCAGAGGACGAGGCTGCGTTGGCTGAGGTCACCATATGCCCAAGCTGCTTCTGTTTGTCCGGGCAGAGGGGGGAATAATTGGGCACCGCACGGGATGGAGATTGACTGATTTGGTACTGGAGGATGTGAAGCTGAGTGGACTTGCCGACAAGTGGTGCCAGCGACGTCAATATCGGCCTCTATGAAGAAGGCACGCAGAAGATGCTAACACGACTTTTAGGCAGTCGCCCTGCAACAACAATGCAGGCAGAGAATACTCCTGGTTGGCACAGTTGGGAGCACAGGCAGTGCATCTGTCAGTAATCTCAGTCAGATATTTATCACACCTTCTGTAGGTTTGACCCGTGACCTTCCAGTGAGAGTGCACCTACCCTGGCACAAGCACGTGGTGTCATCACCACATAATGATGGATGGCGACTGGTGTTCTCTTTTGGAATGTGTATGCATGGTTTCCTCCAGGTTAGCCAAACATCCCGATGTAAATTGGTGTTGCGTAGGTAAACTCTTTAATGTCATGGTATGGCTGAGTTTACCATAGTTTAAAGCAGAGCTATGCAAGCAAAGAGTAAAACTGTTAAAATTTCAAAAAAAAAGCTTCCACGTTGCTTTGTCGTACCCTGATGTGTCCTCGCGTGTGCCACACCGCCAATTTCCCTGCACCGTACTTTGCCGTGGTGAGAGAAATCAGTGAGTGGTGCTGGAAACGGACCAGCCACCACGCAGTCCATCTTTCTTGGATAAGTAATTAATATTAGTCACTGGGCTGAGATTTTGCCAGGCGTTAGACGTGACGTCTTAGCGTCACAGGATCACATTTGAAAAACATAGGCGGTAATGTGTGGTATCTTCAGTGAATGGGTCACTCACACGATGCAGTGGGCAGCAGTCAGCACCCAATCACTGTTGAGGAGGACGCCTCCGCACGTGTGGTAGATATCATTAGGACTTTCAGGAAACCATGCAGTCGCGAGTGAAATCTGCAATGACATCACAATATACGTGATAATCTGTTTCATATCACAAAAGCACAGCAAGCATTTATTTGTCTGTCATGATGATGTTCGTACGATATAGCATAGGGTGATTTTCACCCATGCTGTGTTCAGCCACCAGACTGCTGGGTGGAGCAGCAGGGGCCCAGGGAAACCACGTGGTGCATCTCTGGCGTTTCCAGAGAGATCCGTTTTGGAGCTGATTCGTTCTGCTGTTCATGAATTTAGAGCTTATTTGATTTATTTTACGAATGATCCCGTTCATCTAGTTTCTTGGATATTTTCCTTCTAGATTCATAGGGATACATTGAGACACATAAAGATGCATAGAGGGACATAGAGATATATAGCGACTCATAAATATACACCGAGACTCATATATATGCATAGAGCCCACAAAGATCAATAGAAATACATACAGATGAAGTGTTGAATTTATTTTATTGTTTACATGGGTGGTCCTGTTTAGCCAGTTTCCTGGCAATTTTACACGGGAGATCCGTGGTGCGCGAGTACAGCAATAACAAAACAAAGGCAAAACACTTCAATAATCCTGACGAATTGTTTATCAATACACGAGGAATGTAACGGTCATGAAAAAAAATATTATACCAACAAAAACGAGTGAAATGGTGATAGCAAGAGGCCACAAAAAAGTTAAGTATAGGTGCAATAAAGCTCTGAGTTTTGGTTTAATCGGGAAGTAAAGAGGGGGAGTGAAGGGAGGGGTACCGAGCTGTACATGAGCAGCAAGGCAATTCCAGAATCGTGGAGCAGCAACACGGACAGACTCTTTTACTAAACAAAGTTTTAAGAAATTGAATTTTTAGTGGGAATAAGGAGGCACTTCTGAAGTTACAGGAAGGAGTTAAAGGAACTCATTGGTACTTTAGGTAATTTGTGGATTTGTTTACGAGGACCAGTAGGGTGAAGACAACCCAGTGATGTTCTCTCCAGATATCCAGGGTGGACACATTTGAATTAATATCGAGGTTGTAATGTTGATTTCCATAGGGGGCGTCAAGGGGCACAAATGGAGAGTGGAGCTGCTTTTGTCTCAGCCAATGGTCGCATCAGCTCCTGGGGCGTGGACTACACCAGTTAGCTCATCATCACTCTACCCATTTGAGACTGGTACCTGCAAAATATATATTACAGGACCCTGAAAAAAGACTTGAGTATGGATAGCTGACTTCAGGATGAAAACGCAGAATAACATCAGGGACGTTGACGTTGTAAGAGTGAATGTGACAATATTGGACAAATTCAAGTCAACGGGTGTGCTCGTAGGTAGTTTGCTGATTTTTTAACTGCTTGAGTGTCACGTAGGTAAAATAAAAATAAAATAATATAATAATATAATATAGCTGCATCTTGCTGTGACTGTTCCACCTGAAGACGGAAGCTTGTGTTGCCTCCGAAACTTCGTGATTTAATTTAGTTGTTTTATTATTATATTATATTATTTTATTTTTTATTTTACCTTCGTGACTTTACCGAAAAAACCAAAGAGTATGAATCCTTGCAGTCACGAAAGCTTCAAATCTAGAATGCTTGAGTGTGATTCAACACAAGCAATGTTGTAAAGCATGCAATTACCATATCAGAGCACATGCGAAATTTCAATCTGATTTCATGTTGCAATGCCACGAGCAAGTGGCACAGAAGGATCGCAGATAAACTACTGGAATACTATTAAGGATCAAAACAATTTTATTTGAGTTGTTACGCAGTCACCAAAGCAATTACCTCAATAACATATCTCACGTCATGTATGATAATCTAACATTGCCATGAAGTACACGTGATTGTACTTGTTTCATCACGTTATACTTCCATATATAAAATGAGATATTGTAAAATAAAATAAAAACATAATTCCTGCCACTCCATGCTCCCTTGTGGCCGCACATTAATGACGTCACACTGTCTCTTGAAGGTCCAAGACTGGAGGACTTTTTAACAGTTCTGGCTACATGGCATTGTTGTGACAAGCAGTAATACAATTTCACTTTTGTTCACGTGATAACTTTATTTGTTGCTTGTGCTGGGTGGAGGAGGGTTTATAACACACACGTAATTATGAATCATACCATTTGTCGTGAAAGCCATAGTGTTAAATTTATACAGATGATCTTATTATAACAAAAATACATTAAACTCGCTTGATCATGCCACCCTCTGACTCACCCACCTATTCACTCACCCACTCAAACACAAAACTTTCTGCTATTTCGCTCGCACTCATCTTTGGAACTCCCTCCCATCATTGTCTCTGTTCCCAAGCGCTTATAATAACAACATTGCTCAATACAAAACCGCTCGTTCACGCTGCTGTTTGTTGCTGACCTCTTGACATGTTGGGACTTTGTGCCTGTGCTCAGCGGCTGTGTTTACAAAAAGAGGAAGAAGTACTGCATCTGCATGATGTGTACACGTGTAGAACACACGCGGCTGTGAAACGCAGCTTAAACAATGCATTGCGTTTAGTGCCGCAAATACTTTTAACAAGCTTTGATTAAAATTCAACAAAGTGTGAACTTTTTAGCTCAGTCCCTTTGTCTTTAATGGGGGGGCTGCGATGCATCTCTAAACTATAAGCAAAACTCGAGGATGAAGCTGAAATTGCGACGATGAACTTAACCAAGAGAAATTATGTCCCTTTGCTCACAGGGTTATTTGCGAAAAACTTGGCGACGAGAAACCAGCACTAAAAGTATTCACCATGTAAAGGTTAGCACACAGAACCTGCCATCCACGGGCCATCAATTCTATTCCATCTCCTGGCGTGGCAATTTAAACAATGGTGCCACTCACAATCAGTGCATTTATTACCAAAATTACACTGGCATTTTGGTAAACGGTAAATTAACCTGAAAATGCTTCCTGATTTACACTTGTTATTGGAATTTAACTTGTAAAACATACGACAGCATTTAACTAGGGTGGCCTGACGGATTTGAACCCTTGGACCTCCGTAACAAGCGGCGAATGCAGTCCCACTGGCACATGTCACCACCCTGCACCCCGGAGGTTTTGTTGATGTACTCTCACCTGCCAGGGCCAGCTGTTGGGTACCGCGTCCTCACCGTTGACGATGCGGGCCTGCTGGAGGTTTATTTTGATTCCTTGAAGCTTCAGGTTACGCAGTAACGCAGCTCCATCCTCCTGGGCTGAGATAAAACCTGGGACACGGAGACAACAAGGCGATATTAATATCATAATTCAGAATGTGTAGCGTGCAGTTTTTTTTATTTATTAAAGAAACGATGAATTAGAGGTGCGCGGAACAACAGACAAGTGGGAAGAGCAGCCAGTACCGACAGTAATAATTATATAATTACCCAAGCTCTGTGGTCCTATTTTGGTATGTTGTACCAACTCCTTAAATTCGTGTTTCTACATTTGGGAGGAAACTGGAGTGCCCGGAGAAAACCAGTGCGTGCTGGAAGGGTAACACTCAATCTCCAACAATTTCCCAAGCTCTGTGGCCCAAGATTGAGATGTTTCGCCAAGTCCAAGTATAAAAAGTGTTTATGCATACGTATGTTTATGTCTATATGTGTGTATGTCTATTGGGGAGTGAGAATGTAGTGGTTAACACACTGCGCTACAAACCCGGTGATCCGAGTTCGATTCTCGCTCACGGCCAACACCAGTGACTATTATCTTAACTGGTCATGGACCTACCCTAGGTCGACTCGGCCTCAAATGAGTACCTGGTGCAGTGTGTAAACATCGCCACTCGGGAGACACATGCGACCGTGCATTGTGCTGACCACCCACCCCCTCGTGTGCCGTTCCGGCCTTCATAGGTGCTCGCTTAATGCACTTGCCCCTACAGTCTGTTTAGGCTATACGAGGGCTCTTTGCCTTTGTATGTCTGTGAGTCGGGAGTGGTAGGATAGTGGTTAGCGCAATGTGCTACGAACCTGGCGATACAATTTTGATTGCCTCTCAAGGCCAACACCAGTACTTGGTGCGGTGTCTAAACATCGCCACTTGGGATACAAAAGCGATTCTAGATTTGAAGCTTTCGTGACTGCAAGGATCCATACTCTTTGGTTCTATTCGGTAAAGTCACGTAGGTAAAACAATAAACAACAAAAATCACGACGTTTCGGCCACAACACAAGCGGCCTTCATCAGGTGAAGGGACCAGACTGTCTCGAGGACAGCGCTGGAGTGAAACAGAAACAAAGGCGGCCGGGCGTAGTGCTGGCCACCCGCCCCTCGTATGCCGTGCCGGCCTCCATAGGTGTTCGCTAACAACACTTACCCCAATATGGCCTGTTACAGGCTATATGGGGGAATCTTTGTCATTGTGAGTGTCTGTTTGTCTGCGTGTAAGTTGGTTTGAGTCTTTCTGTGTGTTCGTGTCGTTTGTACCTATAAGTCTGAGAAATTAAGTGGTGTGTGAGTGTCTGTAAATGTATGTGCAAGTTACTTAGTATATATATGACACAATGTATGTGTGTGATCGCGTTTGAATCTGTCTGTGTGTGTGTGTGTATTAAACTTGATTTGGAGCTTTCGTGACTGCAGGAATTACTCTTTGTTTTTTTTTCGGTAAAGTCACGTAGAAATAAGAAATAATAATAAAATTACATAATAGCATATGACGTTTCGATTGCAATGCAAGCAATCATCATCAGGTATAGAAGAGCTAAATTTAAGAGAGAGAGGAAATACAGAACCGCAGATATATAATGGAGAAGCACATCAAATCGAACAAGATTTAGTAAAATTTGGAAACAATATAATGCAGCACAGAGGTTGGGTCAAAACACAATTAACGCATGGACTGGCTGATTACGTTATTTCGAAAATTGCTAAATTCTTTGTGTGCATATGTCTAGGGAAAGCGATAGAGTAGCGGTTAGAACTCTGTGCTATGAAGCAGAATTCGATTTCCCGCTCAGGGGTAACACCAGTAAGGCTATATTCGAACGATTGTCTTTGTCTGTGTGAGTCTGTGAGTCTGCGAGATACAAAGACAAAGATCCCCCGTATAGCCTTAACAGACTGTAGGGGCAAGTGCTGTTAGCGAGCACCTATGAAGGCCCGAACGGTACACGAGGGGGTGGGTGGCCAGCACCACGCCCGACCGCCTTTGTCTCCCTAGTGGTAATGTTTACACACCGCACCAGGTACTCATTTGAGGCTGAGTCGACCTAGGGGAGGCCCGGGACCGGTTCAGATAATCGTCACTGGTGTTGGCC